TTTAAGTTAACTGCTACACCCTTACAGGGTTCATGTACCTATCTAGCCTACTTTTATCACCTTATACTTGTACATGAATGCTAATAAATAAATATGAAATATGAAATATGTGTTCATCATAGTGCTGTTTCTGGCAGTGCTGACGGCGTCACTGTCAGCAAACACTCTGCTGATCTTCATAGTTATCAAGTTCCAGTATATGAGGAGGTGAGTGCTGCTTTTATGTTGCATCATCATAGGTATTTTACTTGCTTTTGTTTTTATCATTCGTATTTTACTAACCCTTGAGTCTGCTAGCCCTGAATAACTCTAAAGAAACAAAGAAAACCTTGACTCTAGCATCTAAGGTATCTCCTGATTCTTTGGGTTATTTGAGATACCTTGGAATAATACTGACGAGTGGATGCCGCCGACGGACCTGGACGTCTTCTACAGACCTGACGTGGTCATCATAGTGCTGTATGTGGCAGTGCTGACGGCGTCACTGTCAGCGAACACGCTCCTGATCTTCATCGTCATCAAGTTCCAGTACATGAGGAGGTTAGTGCTGCTTTTGTATTTGGTTTTAAGCATTTTACTTGTTTTAAGTTTCTGTTAGGACAGCGCAGCTGTAAAGAAAGAAGAGGTACCCTGTTTTCTAGGGTATCCCCTCATACTTTGAATTACTTAAGATATTTTGGAACTCTCTTCCTTTCACCGTCACCAAGTTCCAGTGTAAGAGGAATAATAGGTGCTGCAGTGCTGCTATTTTGTTTTTCATTTGTTTCATTCCTTTCCAGCTGGTCCTTGAACGGAAGGTCAAATACCTGAATAATACCGGGGAGACGACAGGAATAGCATCACACCACTAGCGAGCTGAGCTGTTAAATATAAAAAAAATTGAGAGAGTTGGTCCCTGATTTCGAAAGGTATTAGAGACTTTTAATATTAGGTAGTTAAGCTGTGTTTCCTGCATCTGTTTTATGAAAACAAAACACATTGGTAAACGTTGCCCTTGTTATTTGCTATACAAGCATGATGGGGCCAGCAAATGAGGAAAATATTTAATAGGTTGAAGCTCGTATTGATTAAATTTCATTGCTATCAAAGTCCAGTTTATGAAAAAATAAATAAACTGGCCATAAACTGGCCTTTGATAATAACACCAGTATTTACCGTAGACCGTTGATTGAAAACCTTTGTAATGTATATTTTCTTCTAGAGCTAATTCCCTCCTCTCATTTTGCGATTTATCATAATTCAAAGGTGTTCCCTAAGTAATTCCCAATTGCGCTCGGAGCTGATCCCACTATAACAGAAAATATAAAGTTTACTTTGTATTCAATCGTTTTCCCTATTGGAATTTGGGATCTAGGGATAGAAGAATTTTCGTATTCAATGAGGAGAAAATTGTGTTCTTTGCCTGAGTTTATTGGAACCTGTTAGAAGGCAGAACTTTCAGAGAAAAAAAAAATTCAGTAACTGAGTGTGGCCGCCGCGTCAGCTAAAAACCTATGTACGATTATTGCTCGTACAAGATATAATAGGATTTATATGCACTCACATCACAGTGCTATATTATTCTCATTAATTGAAAATAAGAAAACTTGATGAAGATGTACTACTAGATGTCGCTGAAATCGTCGCTTCGAGACAAGCATCAAGAGGTTGAAAAAGAGATGATGCATTCCCAAACTTAGGATTTTGGTTCCATAAGTTCGTCTATCTATAAGTACTACCAAGTCAACGAACGACTCGTTATTTTTGGAAAACTTGCTAAATTTTTCACTGCAGGCAGGAATCGAACGTTTTACCAGATGTACTAGCGACGCCTTTACCCTCTGGGCTACCGGGGCTCAATCTTCCTTACATACCCGTTATTTATTTTATTTTATAATAACGCTTGATTCGCTAAAGAATAATCTATCTAGATGCTACGTTCACAAAATTTTTAAAAAGTTATATGCTTAGAACTTTAATCCGAAGTGATTCTCAAACAATGAACTAAGCCTCTGGGATAAAGCATTGTTTGTCTTAGCCGCAGACTCATTTCATATGACAATCTTATACATTCCAGACCAAATAATCCGTTTTATTTATTTTTACTCGTAAATCTGTATTATTTCTAAATCTCTTGTGAAGCAAAGTGAGTTTTAGTTGCGGTTGCAGAATTTGAATCTAAGTATTATTGTAAAACCAGTGATAATCTACCCTATTAGTCATAATGCGCTTACAAACAGTCTACTGAAATAAATTGATAATAAGAAAATTGAAAAATTTATCAGCGACCGCTGGGACTTGAACACAAGACCGTGTGGGGAACCGTCGTCCCACTGCTCTGGCAACTGACCTACAGGCGCCTGTGTCGCAAAAGTCCGGTTCAACTTTCTTTGGCTTTTACAGCAGGCACCTTATCTACATAACAGTGAGATCGAAATCGATTGACCTATTCAGGTTTTTTCTTTAAACCTTTTGGTTTTTAGCTGGCTCAAAATACTCATATCATAACATCTAGATGGCTGTGTATAGGTATGTTATGTTTCAAACATGAAAATAATTAGCCCTCAGAAAACAGGTCTGTTTTCTACAAAATATCTCGTGCGTGCTGAGGAAATTCGTTGAAACAGACGTTATGTGTGTAAAGAGCCCTCTGGTTCAAATATGAACCAGAATTTGAACCAGAGGGCTCTTTACGCACATAACGTCTGTTTCAACGAATTTCCACCTAAATCCCATATAAATGCGACGACGCAATGGTGCGTTGACGGATGGGTCTGTCAAACTGCTCAAACAGGTTTGACAGACGTATCCGTCAACGCACTGTTAAGCAAGCGTCGTCGTATTTATAATATGGAATTAAGATGGAAAAATAACGTCGAAACGGATGATATGTGTGTAAAACGCATCACGTTATAGCAGCAGTACGCCTCGTAGAACTCTAAAATCAGAACGTTTTACGCTTTGCTTCTGAAAACAGCCCAGTGGCTTTTTAATCACATCAAAACATTTGGTCACAAAACAGGCGACCTATTTAATTTAAAAGTTGCCTACTTCCTTTCAATGTTTGGTTAGGCTTTAAAAACAAAATTTAGTCTAAATCTAGTGCTTAATAAAACACGTAATTACGTTTTTAAAAGGTTTGCAGATTTTAGAATACGTATTAAAATGCCTGGAAAAACCTTAAACTTAAGGGCAGAATACACCGCCTCCTTATGCGAGACATAAACACGCACATACCTATGACGTTGTGATACATGGTGTCGGATAAGACATGGCACACCGAGGTACGCGCGTCATGACGTACACGCAAACGCTAGCAGTGTGCCGCCTCTCATACATTACAACCGGTACGCGCGTGATGACGCGTACGCATATGTCCTGCATACGGAGGCGGTGTAATCTGCCCTTTAGACCGACCAACGTGTTGCTCGAACAAAAAACCATAGCGAAGTAAAAACATTTATATTACTACATAGTTCAATACGAAGCTCTGATTTCTAATAAAAAAGCGGTGTATGGTCATGAAATCACAAATCCCTCTTAAGGAATCAAGTTAATTAATTATTCTACCGACATAATTGATTTTCTTACACGTCGTAGAGCCCAAGTACAGTATATTCCCCGCGGTACAGATTAAGATTAATTGCCAATGTTAATCGGTCTGGGTACTAATGTTAGCACCTCTACCACAAAGTTATTCGCCCAATACAGACAGACACCTACAAGGAAACGTTACTACACTCACACAGACGTCTACACGCCATCGTTTACGCGCTAAATCAGCACAAATCAGCACAGCCAAGCTTATAGTTGAGTGTCAACAGCGTTCGGTGAGGGCAGACGGCAAAATAACGTCTCGCAAGTCCAAATATTTTAGTAGTGTGTTTTATTGTGATATTAATGTACCTAAGTATGTCAAACTCAGGTAGCGAGGTACGATCTCAAAAATTCAGAAAGGAAAAGCAAATATGTAGTAGAAAATGGAGAATGTTGGTATAAATGATCGGAAAAGTGGGCGAGCAGTCTTCATGTAAATTCTCTATTTGTGCCCCTAGTAACTAATCTTTTAAAATATTTGTGTCCTCCCGCCGGTCAATGGTAATAATAATATATTTGCACGGAATGAGGTCGTTTTCAATTCAAATCAGAACCAGCCTGGTCTGTGATCCACCTTTACATTTAAGGCATCAACTTTTACTGGTTTTTCTTAGGATTGTATGAAATCCACTATAAGTTGGTCCCTTAAATGTGTAGGTAGATTTCTGGCCGTGTACGAATTGTCAAGCAAATGAGTTCCGTTCCGCTACCCACATACCCATCCGCATTCCGTTGTAGTTTTAGCGCTTAACAAAATTCACCGCCGTACCTTAAGTAGCAGCGTAGCGGAATATACCGGTGTCCCATTTTACGGTCCAAAAAAAGATCTCGATTGCATTTTTTTTCTCCGAATATAAAACTTCGTTTTTGCTTGATTGGAAGCTAAGGATATCCTGCTTTTTTTTGGTAATTCTGTCACGATCAAGATTAAATCTGCCTCGTGTAAAGTCTTAAATATTTTTTCCTAATATTTCATACAGAAACTGACTCGAGAGAGATAAACGAATGAATATCGGACAAGATACACAGCGTCATCTAGCTCCAAAACAAAGCAAAGCTATGGGAATGGGAACTAGATAACTGATATACCTAATAGTCATACAGGGAGTAACTGAAAGGTTATAACTAGCCGAAAGGAGGTGAAGGTACTCATGAAACTGAACAACTTTCCCTATGGTACATGGGTCGAAATATGAAAGAAAAATTTGGACCTCCCATACAAAATCGCCGATCAGCTGACTGATTTACTTTTGGAGGTCCCAATTTTATTTTCATATTTCGACCCATGTTTCATGGGGAAAGTTGTTCAATTTCATGAGTACCTTCACCTCCTTTCTGTAACTTCCTGTATATCTCTTTTTTTTACTACAATAAAAAACACACAGATTAAACACAAATATTTCAAAATTTACTGACAGTATTTTTGTCCGGCGGGAATCGAACCCACGACCGTCTACGCAGAAGGCAGGTGTGCTATCCGCTACGCCATCGGGCCGATTGACAGCCGATGTGGCGCAGTGGTTAGTATGCCTGCCTGCCACGCAAAGGTTCCGGGTTCAATTCCCGGTGGGGTCACAAAGTTGATATTTATCACTTTGTGAATTTGTTCCCAGTCTGGTTAGGACATTGCAGGCTGAACCACCTGATTGTCCGCAAGTAAGATGGTTCCGTGCTTCGGATGGGCACGTTAAGCCGTCGGTCCCGGTTGCTGTCTATGATGGCGGTCGTTACACAACCATGTCAGAGGCCTGCTACTTGCAGTAGGCGGTTGAAAAACTCTGACACCAGGGTTCATCGGGTCGTTGGACGACTCGGTGTCCCACACGAAAAAGAAAGAATCGGGACAATCTAATACAGTCAATAAGGTTAAACTTGGCTTTCCGTACTAAACCTTCGACTAAACCAACCGTCTGCGGTCGGCTTCATAAGATAGCTACAGAAGAAACCACAAAACCAATTTTGATGCTTGTCTACCAATATTGTCTGTTATTGACTGTAGGTATTATTTAATTGAATCGATTGTAGATGTCAATGAGTTCAAAATAATAACGGACGATATCCTACTAATATTATAAAGGCGGATGTTTGTGTGGGTGTTTGTTACGACATCAAGCTAAAACGGCTTATTAGAAGAGTATCTAGAATAACACATAGGCTACTTTTTACCACGGGAAAATGTCTCATTCCAACGGGATCACGCATATTCCAATATTTTTGCAAAGGTGGCGTGACTGAGCCGATTCGCGTTTTAAACGTTTTCGCCGAAAACTAACAGCGACATCTCTTGGCGAGTAATGTTTTTTTCCCGCGGAATAATAGGTTGCAGCGGGTGAAACCGCTGACGGGCAGCTAGTCAAAATATACCATAGTTTTCCTACCCTGATCCCAAATCGGTTGGAGTCAGCGCAACATGTTTTGTTAGAGCACAGAACCTACATGGTTGTTAGAGCACAGAACCTGCAAAAGAATTTGGCTATGTTTTATGATTAGGACCGACTGCCTGCTGTCAATTCTCTTTGCGAATGCTATTGTAAGTGGTATCACCAACACCATGCGGTTGACCATTAGTCGACAGATATTCAGCCGAGGTCAAAAACTCTACGTAGCCTTTTACGAAACACCCTGATTGGACGAGGGGTGGCAGTATTCTTATTTGATAAAGTTTCATCAAATTCAGTTCAGCTGTTTCCAAGAATATGAAAACCATCGCGTGCAGGATTCACGAACATGTCGGTTAAAATACAGGCTAATAAATATGCGTATTTAATTCTATTTGATGTAGGTATATTGCAATTTTAGTCGACAAGCTGTCAAGCTGTCACTAATTAATACACAGACTTCTGGATTACACTCAAACTTTTGTCAGTTGTGGTGTAAGTAGCCGTTAACGCTCTGCCTACCCCGCAGGGTTAAATGGCGTAATACGTGTATTCATGTATGTATGTTTTTAATAAACACTCACACGCTCAAACTTGCTCTTGACCGGTGATTAAACTTCTAAACTCGGTAGTATACTCTGTTTTGGATCAAGTCAGAACTATTACCCATTAAACGATTCCCCACACTTTATTATTAGAAACATATTTACTTTTCCTTCATAATGTTTACATTATATTAACACTTTATGACGTGTTGTTGTACGAGTGTATCTGCCTGACTGACAGTTCTAAAACATAACACGTTTTTTTTATATCATAAAGAAAACAGCGAATAAACTTTATGGATTAGAAAATAAACAACTCGAGGTAATAAAAATTATGTAGCTACTCAGAAACCTATGTGATTTGCCGCGTGATGTCTGTTTAGAATAGCATCACCCCAATTCTGCCTGTAAAAGGTTAATCATCGAGGAAATGGGCAGCAGCATTCAATGCCCCCCGATAGGACTTTTGTGGCCGTTTAAGTTAAGGTTAAATGATTCTAAAGGAATAACGAGGATAAAAATATAATAAAACATTGTGGATTTTTTCTGTTTGGTTAGGACTTTGCAGAGTAAGAAAAATGGTCGTGCTTTGCAGGGAACGTGCCGTCAGTCTTGGTTTTTGTAATCGGGTAGTATTAGTACTACAACACTAAAATACTACCCTTTACCATGGTTGTATTTATATTCGAATTTTTAATAAGAACATTATGTATGAAGTGTAGATAAAATAAGTTTTATCATTATTGTAAAACTTTACTCTGACTTACCATCTCAGTTGTCCAATCACGTTTTGCCATTCCATTTTAATAATAATTACAATAAAAAAACTTGAGCTGATTTTAAGGAAATGTTTTTCATTCAAACTCGAAGACTTTGTCGGCAATTTCAGTACTAAAGTTGCACCAGCTTCAACTTTATAACAAAATCCAAGTTTAAGCTTAACGAGCTTAAAGAGCTTATCGACAGTCATAAACTTGATGTTTCACAAGCAGCTCTTCAATAACAAATTAACTTACACTGGTTTACTATAAAGCGATTATGATTAACCAATACATGTTGATCTGTCTCAAGTAACCTTATATTCTTGTGTACTAGATTTCACGTCTGCATATAACAATTTTAAATGTATTAAATACTAGCTGAAACGTGCAAACTTGGTTTCGTGGACTTCATGTTTCAGTGTGAACCAGATTAAACTGGCCAGCTCTTAGAGGGCTAGCTATACGAAGAAGGATAATTTCTGGGGGCACGGCAGTGCCCCCACCAAGTCGAGCTGAAAGCGGCACGGCCGTACCATCCTTTTCTCGAACCAGTTCAGGCCATATTTGACCCCCCCATAACTTCCTTGTCGATAAGTTTAGAACCCTCATTTTAAAATATCTTATCAAGCACTACATAGACACGATACATTTCAAATTTCATTTCATTTGGACCAGTAGTTTAGAAGTTATAGTTAGTCAAAGTTTCTTAATTCTCTGCCTGACTGACTGACTGACTGACTGACCGATCATCAAAATTCTAAGGTACTTCTAGCAGACTGAGGAGCTTAAAACTTTGGATACACCTTGTATTTAGTGTATGAATAAAGGGAAAACTATAACATTCTGCAAATTCGGTTGCAACCGCATAACTAACTTTGTATTTCCATACAAATGTATAGGATTACAAAGTTAACTTTGCGGATGGGCTTTGAGGAAATCTGTAGCTGAGGCTCAAGAAGTAGTTCCAGATAAGAGAAAGAGGAAGACTATCTACAAAAGAATGAGATCCACCAAAACATTAACTTGTAAAGAACCAAGTCTCGCCTCTCAGTTCATCTACTGTAAAAAGTTGTGAGATCCATCTGATGCCAAGTCGGTTATTGATTTATTCAAGGACTACTTCAGGGAACTTTCATCTTAAGCTATTGCGTAATTAGGTAACAGACATAATCTTACAGTAACTATATCAATACTTAAAAACTTTTATATTTACAATAACTAGAATGACTTGGCAATCGCACACTATTTGCTTGTGAGATACGATGGTCTAGTGCGATGGCCGGGTCATTCTAGTTATTGTAAATATAAAAGTTTTTAAATATTGATATAGTTACTGTAAGATGATGTCTGTTACCTAATTACGCAATAGCTAAGATGAAAGTTCCTAGTAGTCCTTGAATAAATCAATAACCGACTTGGCATCAGATGGATCTCACAACTTTTTACAGTAGATGAACTGAGAGGCGAGACTTGGTTCTTTTTACAAGTTAATGTTTTTGGTGGGATAGAATATTACGGGAACAGCTCTCCGAATACTGACAGGGTGCATTTAGATCATTAAACTGAACAACATCCCGCATGATGTTTTTCTACGAGACATAAAAAAATTTTTGACCTCACAATCAACAACACATCACGATCAGCTAACAAAAATTTTGTTTTCGTCTCTTGACATATTTCCTTATGGGAAGGTGTTCAGTTTCGTTACGCTAGTACTAATAATTATACTGTGGTTTCGTGGTCCGAGTGGACCCTATCAGTATTCAAAGACTGTCCCTAACACCTTGTATACTATAAGCAAGCTATAGAGTGCGCGTATTGCCCTGCGTAGTGCTGTCAAGCGTATGTAGTAGTTCCATAGATAACTAAGTCAAATGTACCAGAAATAATGTCGTTTTGCTGCTGATGGACCGCAGTTGACAATATTACCATGTGGCATGATAAGCTACTATTAAGTAAAAATCCGAACGAGTCTGTCACCCTAATAGAGGGTAATCATCATTTCGGTGGATTTCCTTAAAACATTATCTTTTATTGATGTTTCATTTCAATTTGTCTATCAGTAAATGATTTTACCATACTAAATGCTTAAGCTTAAATCAACACACATTTTTTAAATACCAAATTTTTAAAACACTTCCAGTGTTAGGTGTACAATTTAGGAAAACTTGCAAAATTTTCACCGCTGGCTGGATTTGAACCAGCGACCTCCGCCATCTGTACTGGTGGCGCCTCTACCAACTGGGCTACAGCAGCTCACTCCAAGCCCGCAAGTTAAACAAGTGCATTTGACCACTAACGCGTGGTAGGGCTCTATCTACCACACAATCTACACATTTTTTATTTACATCTATACATATAATAAAGTTGTAGAGGGTGGAAAGTCTGTACATAGAAGATTTTCAAAAAAAAAGTGTTTGGTGATACTTAAAATTGATAACAGAACACGTTTCAGCAATTTTTAGATTTTTTTTCTGTTTGTCTGTTTGTCTGTTTATCTGTTTATCTGTTTCTCTGTTTATCTGTTTGTCTGTTTGTATGAGGAAGCATCACGCAAAAACTACTGAACCGATTTTGATGCAAATTATACCAAAATGTCGGGAAAGTTACTGACCAGGTTATAGGCTAAAAAAAATCAACCCCTAAAAGGGGGGGTTGCCACTGTACTTGAAATAAGTTTGCACATAAATCGATATCGCGTTGCGTGCGGTAGAGGAATAAGTATTAGATGTAAAAAAACTACTCAAATTATTTTAAGGGGTGAACCAGTCCATGAAACTGAACAACTTTCCCCAAGGAACATAGTTTTT